TAGCAGATAGCTGTGTGTTAGTTTAGTGTGCCCCATTCTTAGCCTTGTTATTCTTAGCCTCTTTTCTTTTGCTGTGCACGATATTCCAGGGATTAGCTGTTTCTCTTACTTAAATAGTTGATGAGTTATATAAACATTCTGAAAGGTCGACGAAAACAAATTGAATGTCGAATCACCTAGAGACAAAGACATTTCTCACGCTTCACGGCGTAGGAATTTCTTATTCTCGGTTTATAAGAAATAATCATGTTAATTAACATAGATTCATAATTAAAAAAAAATACAGTATGTGCTTAAGACCACGCGATAGAAGTGAAAACATCAAAGCGGAATTAATTATATGATACATACATTTTTTGTTAGTTCTATTTCCACAAAGTAATAATAACATCTGTAACATACGCAGTTATAATTATGTATAAATTACTCTGATAAATTATTCTTTTTAATGAGCTATTATTCAACATTGTATCTTGATGGGACGCCGCGTCAGTGATGCAAAATTGAAAAAGATAGGATCAAAAACCAAATGATAACGAGTTTTTATCAGTTTTTTGGCGCCTTTGGTTTATTATTTTCAACATTGAACCGTTGTAATCGTCAAAAAAAAAAATTCAACCTCCCTCAAAATTTGAGGTTTTACGTTTCACGATACGTAGAATTCGAAAATAGAATAAAAACATTTTTATCCGTCGGCGGCTTTTCTCCGAGACTACTGGCCCGATTTTTTTTTTCAAATTTGGATTTAAAGCCAGAGAAGTCAGAGAAAAGCCACCGACGGACAAATAATTTTTTATTCTATTTTCGAATTCTACGTAAAACATCAAATTTTGAGGGGGATTATTTTTTTTATTTTTTTCGACGATTACAACGGGTCATTATTGAAAATAATAAACCAAAGGCGCCAAAAAAACTAATAAAAACTACTGGACCGATTTTTTTTTTCAAATTGGGATTTAAAGTCTGAGGTCAGCCGAGGATGACACTCTTGCCTCGACATTACTATCCGCCCTTTTCTTCCAAGATGGCGGACGAAAAACCTGTGTTGGTATAGACTGTAGCGCCTAAACGAATGTACCGATTTCAATGAAACTTGGCTTAAGTCTTCTCATCGATGAGCTTTAAATTTATCTTTATAACGCACTTCAACGAAAAGAAGCTGGAAAAAAAGTTACTAGAAACGCTAAAATTATATTTCCGAATTACTCAAGAAGTATACAATTTTTTGTGAATGCTGTTGGCTATTTAAGAGTTTACGAATTTTACTTATAAAAACAACAACAAAAATTGTTGAAATTGGACAATTTTGAGCAAAGATATGGTGTCCTAAATATGTTCTAATGAAGTGCTTATAAATTTTGTTTTGGTTTTTGATTTTTGAAAGTTTTACATCAACTTATAGAGCAATGTTGTCTATTGTTTAAGCTAATTATCAATGATGAAAAAGAAAATTATAAAGGCCAATGTTATGAGTCCCTTTTTATTTATTTTCCTTAATGCTACATGGAAAGTAATCTTAATTTTGATGTTAAATTGTTTGAAAATAATAAACCATTGTGCAATAATTTACAGCGTTTTTCGGCTTTCCAATACAGCTTCACGTCAGAATACAATTTTGAATTACAGCTCTTTACAAAGACAATGAGCTCGTTATCATTTGGTTTTTTACGCTATCTTTTTACATATCGAACACTGCATCGCGTCAAGATAAAAGCTCATTGCAAAGAGGATTAAATGGTGAACATTTCCCTCGATTACAGTATGCAGGTCCGATTTTTAGTTTCTGAGATATTTTAAACCGATTTGATAAATTAAAAAAATAGTCGACTTTATCCGAATGAGCGTTACATTTTCGATCGTGACGAATCAGTCTGTTTCACTAACCACAAAAAAAAGTTCTAAGAGCTCCTAAAGAAGTTTTCACATAAAAAATATACAATTGAGAGTTTAATATGTTAAATTTCAGATGGTAATTATTGTATCAAGTTGTCATTACTATTAAATTAATAAGATAAATATACAATTTAGAGTTTAATATGTAATGTTTCAGATGGTAATTATTGTATCAAGTTGTCATTAGTATTACATTAATGAGATAAAACGATATATTGATTATAGATCATTAACAGAGCTGTGGTGTTTATTTTTACAAAAATGAAAAGAGAGCTATTTTCATCTGGTTTCTCCAAAATTCTCTCGACTCTTCATAGAGTAGCAGATCGAATATTTTCCTATTTAGGTTTTAATTGACCATTTGATTTGCGAGATTCAATAAAACAAACGACAATTATATGCACCGAATTAAGGGCACCGATAGCATCGTATATCAGTTTAGGATCATATCGTTGTCAAAAAATCTATTAAAGCATAATCGAAGTCTTCAGTTTCGGTTTGAATGAACTTTTTTACAATTTGTTTTATTTTAACTGATCTCTAAGGTTTACCTCATGACTTCCCTACTCTTAAGTAGAGAAAAAATTCTCATGTCAAAAAACAAAATTGCTATCCGTTGTTCTCTTGTAATTCGTTCTTTGAAATATAGAATTTATGGCGAGATTAGATATGATTTCTACGTTTTATTTTATTATGGCTTACATAAATTTATATTACTTATTACATGAATTATCGCTATTGCTGGCATAGTTTTTTTTTCATAGAGATTATAATTTAACAAAAATATTATTACCGAATATTTCTTTTTTTTTTTTTCCTTATACCTGTTGATTTCGACTTTTTCGTCATGAGTCTTCTTTAGCAGCTTGCGGCTATTATAGGAGACAGTCGTGATTCGTTTGGTTCTCTCTTCTTCGAGATATCAAGGGAGCACGTGGTTTTACTAACCGGACGCGATCACGTTCACTCTTCATCAAAAACTTTCCTGAAGGATGGTTGGCAATCTTCCACCCAGTTTTTTACGAGATAGGGGATTATCAGCCCTATACCCAACCTCCACCAGGAGGATCAGGAGCTATTGGCTGTGGTGTAAGACACAGAGGTCGCTCACCTCCCTATGAATATCAGGGCGGGGACGTAACCGTCTCCATGCGGGAATCGAATCCGCGCCTTGGTGGTCTAAGTAGTCGAGTAGGGCCTGAACTTATTTATTTATTATTATTATTTTACCATTTTGTTCTGTTATTTATTCCCGCGAACGGGATTTAAAGAACTTGATATAAAAGTTTTGCAAATGCCTTAGCTCGCTCCAACGAAATACCAAGCTGGTTTTCGAAAGGGTAGGTAAACTATTGATCAAATATTTACTCTTCGGACATTTCTAGAAAGAAGTCATGAGTATAAAATAAGAAGATACAAATTGTACGAATGAATGGAAGAACTAAACATCCCCTCTAAACTAATTAGTCTGGTAAAAATGACAATAGAGAACCTACAGTGTCGAGTACGCATTCACTCTGAATGTTCCTTGGAGTTTCCTACCAATAAAGGACTGAGACAAGGTGATGCTTTGGCATGTTTATTGTTTAATTTGGCTCTGGAGAAGGTGGTGAGGGGCTCTGGCATTCAGACTAGGGGCACGATATTTACAAATATGGTCCAACTGTTAGGTTATGCTGACGACAACGATATTGTGGCACGATCTTTTGCAGCTCTCGAAGGTGCCTTCCTTGAATTGCAAAAAGCTGCAGCTAAGATGGGGCTCCACGTTAATGAGAATAAAACAAAATATATGTATACAGGAGAAGGATAGAATCCCCAAAACCAAAGAATATCTCTAGACCCTTACACCTTTGAGAATGTCCTCTTATTTGGGACCTCAAATTACGACAAAAAATGAGACGACACTTAAAATCACGCAGCTGCCAACCAATGTTATTTTGGCCTACTTAAGCAAATGAGAAGCTCACTACTTTGTAGTGATGTTTAAGTTTAAATTAATTTAAATTTGTAGACGAACGAAGCTGCAGTTCTATAAAACGCTCACCCGGCCAGTTCTTACCTACGGTAGCCAAATATGGACCTTAGCCAAAAATGACGAAAAAAACCTTCTGTCCTTTGAAAGAAAAATCCTTAGAAGAATATTTGGTCCTGTAAAGGAGGCATTGGATTGGAGAATTCGGAAGAATAGAGAGGTCTACGAATAGTTTAATGAACCTAATGTGGCAAAAATGATAAAATTAGGAAGGTTAAGTTTCGGATGGAGAGGTCTCCCGATCCCGATAAGAGTGCTTGAAGAACCATTACACTATACAAGGAGAGCTGGCAGAACGAAATTGAGATGGGCAGATGGTGTGGCAGGTGACGCAAGAGACTTGATGGAAGTCCGGAATTGAAAAGTGAACAAGCTCATTGAGGAGGCCAGAACCCATTAAGAACCCTAAAACCGTAGAGCCATTAAGATAAATAGATAGCTAGCTCGACCAACGCGATTATTTCATTTCAGTTACCGAATATTATTAATTGGCAGAATTGTAAAATAAACTTGAGTTGAGCTGTTGGTTTGAAACCTTCCAAATTAGCTCTAATTAGAACATTTTCATGTAATTTTTTTTTATTTATTGAAGTGGAAGCAGATAAATGCCAATAGTCACAAGAGAAATAGTAAGGGCTAACGATCATTGGGTTATTAAAAAAAAAAAAAAAAAGAATAAAACAATATGTGCAGGCATATTATCTGTATCTACAATACAAATATTACCAAATAAATATATTTAATAGTTATTAAAAAAAAACAAAAAAAGTTATATCACTTGGGTAATATGCCTTAAAGTTTCAAATATTATAAAATGTTGTTTTTAAACAGATGTATTTCGCATAATCCAAAAAATTATTGTTATTAGTTAATTAGCAAAAAAATTCTTCGGCGATTTTATAAAGATGCAAAACCATGGTTCCTAATCTCGATGCTTGCTGATAAAAACGATTTCACTCATTTCTGATCAAATATTTTCGCATTCGCAAGAGATTCGCCATATTTAAGTGTTAATGTAACTAAAATTCTGACCCTATATTAAATGAAATAAAAATTAATAAAATAAAATTACCTTGAAACCTTATTAAGACGAAAACTCTCCCTTTCGGGTCTCGAACAAGATTCTGCTGCCTAAAACTGAAAAAAAAAAAAGGAAGAATATTAGACCAAATTAAAAAAAAAAATGGAAAAAGGTATACGATTTTGAATTAGGCATATTTTTAAAAGTTTCTTACCTTCTTGAGGAGTTGAATACTCGCCAATCACTGTATAGGGAGACCAAGGTAAGCTGGGAAAAAGTATAAAAATAGTTAGCACTTTTATTTTACATTAATGTATAAGTATATATATAGTTTTTAAAACATTTTGTGGAGTACAAACCTTTAAAAAAGATGAAAATTCGCAAACCAAACTCGAGACAGTTTAATCCCTGTTTGGGTCCTTGGAATCCCACCACCAGGAGAGGGCTCCGTTATGGTGAGCTGTAAAGCAAAAATTAACGTTATTTTTTTGTGTTGATTACTTTTTTATAGATAAATATTACAATATGTCTCAATTAACTTTAATTAAATAAAAATTAAATCATTTATATAATATCATTAATATAAAATATAAACTATTATTTTGTAGAAAATTCATGAAGTTTCGAATGGAGCTAAGTCTAAATAAAATTTATTATTTATTAAAAATATTTATCATTTGTGTAGGAAGGCGCATATGTTGGTGTTGAAAATAACTAAGTTTTTATAACGATAACGAGTATGCCGTTATAAAATAATAGTTATTTTCACCATTAACTGATGAGCCTTGGTCCAAATGATAAGGTAGCGTAACATAAATTTTTTTTTTTTAATTTTATTTTATTGAGATTTACAACTGTATTACATGGAAAATACAATAAGTAAATGTGACATTGGTAACATGACATGTACAATATGAAGAGAAACTACCCATTGGTATAACATAAAAATATAAAAATAAATCATGCATATGGATTTAGTTTCCTTTTTAACACTTGCTCAGCAAAATATAATTTAAATAATGTTTAATTAATATCGCTAAACTATCCATAAATTACGGATACGGAACATTTACATACGTTTTCTGATGCCTAAATGATGGCCACTTCAAAGACACAGTATGTATTTTTGAACAAACATCTAGAAATTTCGTTTTTTTCCTATATATTGATTTTATTTACTTTATTTTTATAAAAATTATATCTAAATAAAATATAGATGCGAAATAAGACCTACTATAATTAATTCGGGGAGAAAAACCAATGTTTAATTTGGTTTAATATTTCATTTAGATTTTTTTCGAAATGGATGGAAAGAGTTCGTATAATTCTTTCCGATTGTTAACCAAAAAAAATTATAATTTCTTTCCGAATAATATTTTTCAAAAAGGCGGGAGTTCGAGAAAAAAATTAATTCTCCAAAAAGAACTTGTCTCACGATAACTCGATTCTCAAACACATTTGAAACATTCAATTTAATTTGTATGGCCTATAGACGTACACTAAAACCTGAAAGCCGGGGGAAATTTAATTAAAACGCTCATATTGTTCTAACCAGAAATATATCATAAACACTAAATTAAAGCTCGTTTGGTCCAAAAGGTGTCACTGGACATTTATACAGATATCCCTGAAAAAAAACATTTTAAATGGGTTAGGAAAAAAATTTAAGATGAACCTCACTCAACGAATTTCTATTTAATGCAAAAGTCATAAAAAATTTCTGGGAAGATAGAACTAAAATGAGTCAAATTATTTAACGAGTCAACTGATGACAATAGTCATATAAAACATATTTTCGGTATAATGTTAAAGTAAGGAATGTGAGCCTGTTTAAAGTTGTACATTCGTTAATGTCACATGGTGCCAACGGTATGAACTATATAAATTTTCTACACCAAATCAAGATTGTAAGATTTAATATGTTTTTTTATTAATTAAAGAATTCCTAAGACCACCCTTTTTATCTTTTCTTTTTTTTTTTCTTATGCCTCTGGACTTCAGGCTTCAACCATGAGTCTTTTAGCAGCTTTGGGCTGTGATAGTTTGGTTCTCTTCAAGCGTTTTTTTTCTCTTGATAATATTCAGGGAGAACAGGATGCGATAATAATCACTTCCTCTTCATCAGACACTTCCATGAAGGGTGGTTGGCAATCTTTTGCAGAACTCTTCCACCAGTTTTTTATAATATAGGGGATTATCAGCTCTATACCCAACCCTCAATCTGGAGGACCAGGAGCTATTGCCTATGGAGTAAGACACAGAGGTTGTGTTGCCCAAAATCGGTCTTATGAACTTTGCAAGACAAAGACTAAGACTGGTAAAAAAAAATAGATTTTTTAAATAAAAATTAAGGCAAAATAGTTACTAATGCTTTATAATTTTAGATACTATATGTAAAGAATTGGCATAACCAATATACTTTTGCATTTAACTCTTCTAATTTTTCATTCGGGCTTAGTTAAGTTTCCCCTATCTGTAAAATTACAGTAATATCTGTATAGTAATAAGCTAATAGGTAACTGCAAGACTCTTTCGCAAGATCAAGACCAAGACAAGAGTGAGTGCGCGTTTGGTCAACACTAGTTGAGAAAGTGGCGTGCAGCACAGCGATTTTCTGGAGTCCTGCTTTTTCCTCCACAACTAAAACAAAATGTTTCTGTTTTGAAACTTCCTTAAGGTCCTTCTTCAGCCATTTCTTCTCACTAGTGTTGTCCAAATGCGAAACCAAGACGAGTCTTGGCCTTGCGCACTCAGTCTTAGTCTTAGTCTTGTTCTTGCGCAACAGTCTTGTAGTTATCAATCACTTTACCAATCACTTTAGCTACCATTACCAGTTAGCTTTTCACGTTAGAGAGGTTTCTCTTATCTAAAAAATTACAGTAATATTTCTGTAGTACTAAGCTAATAGGTAACTGCAAGACCGTTGCGAGACTCATGCACAAGACAAGACCTAGACCAAGACTGAATTTGCAAGACCAAGACACGTCTCGGTCTCGCATTTGTGCAACACTACACAGGGGTCACTCACCTCCCTATGAATCACAGGTTGGGTGGTTACCGTCTCCATGCGGGAATCGAACCCGCGCCGTAGTGGTCTAAGCAATCAAGTAGGACATGCACTTATTTATTTATTTACTGTTCTTTTTTATCATCTTTTTTTCTGTTGTTAATTCCCGCAAACGGAATTGGAAAACTTTGAAAAAAGAATTTGGAAACTCTTTACAGAAATCTCCACCCTACTTGATGTACCTCCTTTGTGCATTTTAGTATATTTTTCATTCTCGACAGTAAGCGGTGCATTCCACAGTCATGTGTTTCCTTTTAAAAAATATTTGAATATTTAATGGTAACACTTGTTTCATAACACGAGGTTGACGCTCACTGCTCATAATCGACTCAATGTTTACTGTTTGATTTAGTGAAACATGATTTGTATTACTGTAACCTAAAACAACTTTAACTAATTGCAATAACTAACCTCGTAAGACAACCGACTGCACTCTTATTTCTAATATATATTTATATATTTTTGGAACTGTTATAGCGATGACAAGTGTCAACTTCATGTTATGAAATAAGTGTCACTATTAAATATTCAGCTATTTTTCAAAAGGAAATATGTGACCGCAAAATGTACTGCCAAGAATGAAAAATATACTAAAATGTGCAAAACCATCACGAAGATTTTTTTAATCACTTTTTTAGAACGTGGTTGGTAAGTAATTCATGCAACGGTATAAAAATCAAGTGCTAAAGATGAATTAGCATTTGGAATAAATTTTGAGATTTATTCAGTAAACGAAACATTTATTAGCTACGTGACAAAACCAAGTAAATAAAATATTTCTCCCTTCTATCCACCTCTATCTTTCAATAAAACGAGCATTGCATCTTTAACTTAGAGCAGTCAGGTTGTTATCATTTCTCTTACTTATTCTCTTTCTTATTTCAACCTTCTCAGTTTCTCTCCTCCTTCCTTTCATTCCTTTTCTATCTTTTAACTCTTTATTATTTCATAATTTGTCTGTTATAATTGATAGACTTTACAACATCTCAACTTTCTATCTAAATATTCTATTCACTATATCTTAATTTTACTATTTATTTCCATTTCTTATACAACTTCATATTTTTCTGTTTTACATTGAAAATTAGTTATAGTCCGTGGTACAGGTCCCTTTTTATCGATTTATTATCATCCGCCTGAAACTTTGTAAATAGTTTCATCTCATCGTAACCTACAACTATTTTATTTACGAAAACTCTTGGAATTGGAGTGTTTTCAATCTGGGGGAGGGCAAACTTTTGTCTATTTAATTAGGTACTAAAAACTCGTAAATACCCATCTTTTTAGTACCTAATTAAATGGACAAAGTTTGCCCCCCTCCAGATTGAAAACGCCCCAATTCCAAGAGTTTTCGTAAATAAAATAGTTGTAGGTTACGATGAGATGAAACTATTTACGAAGTTTCAGGCGGATGTTAATAATTCGATAAAAAGGGGTCTGTACCATGGACTATTAAATGTAATGGTATTTTCATAAACTTTTTTGTAATTGCAACAATAAGCAATTACAAAAATTAGGAGTCATAAAACTCGCTGTGATTATGTGTATCATAAACAATGTCATTCTTTTATAATATAATATGGGTTCGATTGTATAGAAATTTATATTTAATATTAAAACTATTAATGATTATTATAAATAACTAGAAGGACCAATCCCCATTTTACAGATTATACAACTGTTCATTTAATTGTAACTGCTCGTTGCTCAAATTGTAAAATTTTAATTTACAAGTGTTCTGTAGTTCAGGTTGTATTATTTTTTATCGGCATAAAATAAGCGGAACGAAATCACAGTTCGGACAAATTTTTAATTTCTTTATTTATAACCATAATAAGGGAGAAATAATTTTGTTAATAAAAAATGTGGTGTCTTCGTTACGGTTCGCCTCGTTTCGTATATGTAAAATAAAATATGACACGGTCACTAAAAACTTTTTTATATAATGGAGAGATATTAATAAAATATTTCAAGTATAGAACTTACTATTTAATAATAATACTATTATAAATAATAAATATTAAGATTATTTCGAAGTTTTGCCGGCATGTTATTACAGTAATGACATAACAACAATAGAGAGGTATATAATACGGCTGAAGGACCCCTCACCCAATTGCGAAGGCTTCCTCGATGCGATGATAGCTATTTGATATCACACGAGATAGTTTTGTCTATTGTGGGCGAGGTTAGAACAACACAAGAGGTCGTCAAGGTTCCAATGACTCTCAGACAGAGACCCAATTTCTCTAATGACTAATCAATATATTTTTTAAAATAAAAAATTCAAATATTTATAGTTACCAGAAATAGGGGTTATTGTAGAACAGCTCTTTAAATTCGACTCATGTAGGGCTTACAAAAGTTCTAAATAAATAAAAAAAGTTCTAGTC